GGGGGGCGGGGGGAGGTGCAAGATACAACTCCTCTATTTGGGATTGGTTTGGGGAGGGCAGATTTGTTGTGGTTGGTTGGTTGGTGGGTTTTTTTAGTCTCGAAGCTCCCCGAGCTACATGTTCCATGTCAATAAACTGTGACTGTGCCCGAGCTCTATAAAAACAAATAAAGGAGTATCTTTGAAGTATGTGCTGTTTGAAAGTGTTTTCACAAGCAGTGGCCTCTTTGGTCGCAGCCTTCAGTGCATCAGCTGATACCAGGATGCACAAAGTGTTCTCTGAGCATAATAAGAAAGTAAACCTTCAGAGTTTCAGGCTGAAATACTAAATCTTGTTTGAAACTTAACAAGCCAAAAGGAAAACTGAACGTGTTAGAGTTGCTTCTGCTAAGCTGCTAGCACATCAGGATGTTAATAGATAGGACTTTACCTTCATGTAGGTAAAGACTTCTGCCATTAGTTTCCAACGAAATGCAGTGTTTGGGGGGGGGGTGTGTGTGTTATTTGTTTTGGTGTTGTTTTTTTTTCTAATAAAAGCTTTTAGGTCATATGGCTTCAGGGAAGGAAAAGCAGTCTTTCTGGTAGAATTAAAAAGAAGGAAGAAAAGAAAATGTGGTGGTGTTTTCCAAGGTTTACAGTCCAAAATGAGTGCTGCTGTTCCAGCTTTTTGCAGTACAGCAGTACGAAAGGCGACTCCATCGCTCTTTTTATCAGCTTATCTTTGGACAGCTGCAGGCTAAGCAAGTTTTGAGTAATAACAGTGGTACTAGAATGCCTGGTGGATTTCAGTATGCAGTTTATACTCTTAAAAAATGGTAAGTTACAATTGCTTTAAGAATTTTTATTTTATTTTATTTTATTTCAGGAGGCTACGAACCCCCACTAACAAACGTCTTCACAATGCAGTGGTTTCTGACCCTTTTTGCCACTTGTCTACCTAACCATACAGTTTTGAAGATCTGGGATTCGGTATTCTTTGAAGGCTCTGAGATTATACTGAGAGTAGCTTTGGCTATCTGGGCAAAGTTAGGAGAGTAAGTGGTCATTTTTATCTGATCTTTCAGTATGAGCAATTGTGTAATTTACATTGTTCTGGAGAATGAGTTCTCAATTCTAAACAAGGTGCAATCTTTCGGAGGAGTGATTCTGCTTTGAAAAAGCCACATGAAGTGCCTCAAAGGCTTCACCCTAAAAGTGCTTCTGACATCGTGTCAGAATGGGCACAATAATTAATTTATCTCTGCTGCAAGAAACGTCTCCAGTTGTTTGTGTTGTCTGTGTGTGATGTCTTCATGCTATGCTAAAGGGTTGGGTGGACTTTCCAGGAAATAGACCTCTGAGGGAGCTGGTAGATACTATGTGGAAAGATGCACAAAGAGACTCGAGGGTGACTGCCTGAATTAGTTGGGTACCTGAAGCTGGGGATATTAATTCCCTTATTTTCACTTAAGGAGACTTAAGGATTTGAGCCCATTGGCTGTACCAAAGAGAAGAGCTCAATGTTAGTAAGTGAATGAATTAGTGTTGCATGGATCTTTCCTGCTAAGGCCTGCGAACAAATTTTCCTGAAATTCTCTGCTCTTAAGCACATTCTAGCCAAATTTCTATTACAGTCCTTTATGGACTTGGAAACTCACTACATAGGACAGAACACAAGAGATAGTTATTTTTTTTCTAAACAATTCTGTTGTCATAACAAATATTTACATTCCAAAGGGTGTTACCTGCTCCTGGAGAAATGAGTTTTGTCACTGACTTCAGTGGGAGGTGTGAGCTCTGACAGGTCAAGCAGATGTTAGTTCAGCTGGAAACTTTTCAGCTGGCGTCAGCAGCTGCATCCAATTTTTCTAGTGATGGCTATCAACACTTGCCTTTCTTTTTTTCCTGTGAGACTAAACAACTGGGATTTATGTTCAGCTCTCTCCTCGCGGGGTTCATTTCTTTTTTTCTTTCTGAATAAATAAGCAGTGCAAGCCAGTAGCATTGTAAGAGACTTTGTTTAGTATATTTATTTTTTCATCTGAATAATAATAATTAGAATAGCAATTCCCTAAGAGCTTTATTTTTTCAGTTCATGAATGAAATTTGCACGAATCATTTGCATTAGGATGAAGCTATATGTAGTCCAATTGTGCTTTATTACTTTGTAGCACGTTTTTAGATAAATGGTCTTATTGCAGTGGGTCTCTGTGCACTTAAAAGCCATAATTACGAATGTTCCAACTCGTAATATGATAAAAAAGAAAGTTGCTGCTTTGAATATTTGCCATAGAACTTAAAGCAGAAATGAAACATGCTTTATAGAAATTGAAAGGAACAGAACAAAGAATATTGTGTAAGAATATGTCCAAAATAATAGGCTGATCACACTGCTCACCTTGTGACTGTTGTTTGTGGGGAATGGGAGGAGGTCTGGCAGATCTGGGGGCAGTTAACAGAGAGGGACACTGGTGGGATAGCCAGAGATCTAGAAGATAATGAGTCACTAAAACTAAACAAGAATTAATATACAAGAAGTTTGTGATTATTGACATCAAGTGAAATCGGAAAGTAAAAGATCGGGTACTATGTTTTTCCTGGGAGAAGATCGTGATTTTGTTCTTCTTTCTTCTCCACTAGAAATAGAACAGAGGGGATTTAAAGTGTGTCCTGAAACAGTGATCATGATCTCATGATCTTCATACTTCTCACAACTGTCTTCCTAGACATGAAAATGGGGTGAGAAGTGCTTTTCCTGAGACGTGGGTGGTTCAGTCATACTTCTGTTTTGAGGGAGACTGAAGGAACAGGGAGGTTATAAATAGGTGCAGTAGAGAAAGCAGTGTGTGGAGGTCATGAAAGACTGAAGGTATCAGGGTAAGCAGTAAGTTTGTCCTAATTGGCTACATACCCATTGCTTCTACTCTTTAAAAAAAAAAAAAAGTGCTTAATTGTTCTTTTAGCTGAACTATGTTAAGATTTCATTTGGGGTTTCATAGTTCAATGGTTGTTCCCTATAGACACTGAAGATCAAGGGAAGCTTCCTCTTCTAATTCTTAAGAAAAAAGGCAGTGTACTTGTTTGATCAAATTTAATTCAGAAATAGCTTTCATAAGTATGCAGAATATGAGTGAATTTTCCTTTGTTCTGCATTTTGTGAGCTGATATATAAATACACCTGTTCTTAATTCACTCCACTGGAGATTTCTGGCCAGTGAGTATGTTCCTGTCTGACAAAAAGACAGTTCAACTGGTGAGTTCAGCTGTTTGGTACACAGTGAAGAATGGATGATGAGTCAGTCGGGAAACCTTTATGACCCGTTAACTAGCAGGAGGCAGGATTTACTGATTCTCACGTTGTAGAAGTGAAAGGGGCAGAGGGAAGAACCTGTCTGGACAGGCATGAATCTTGTATTGTGAGCAGTCAGGGCAGTAAGCTGTGCTCAGTACATCTTTTTATTGTACCAGCATTTCCAATATGATTTGCACAGTTTTATTATTTGGAAGTGTAGGGAGGATTGCAATAAACTTAAGAATTAAAGTGACTAATGAAAGTGCATGTTTTATGATGACAGGAAGTTCTGTTTCGGTTTGGAGGTGTATAATCATAAAAGTAAAATAAAAAAACATGTATTTTGATGTAGGCAAATAGAGTGTTGTGAAACTGCAGATGAGTTTTACAGTACCATGGGCAAGCTGACCCAGGAGATGCTGGAAGACAGTCTGATTGACAGCAATGAGCTCATGCAGGTGAGTAATTGTGATAGAATTATTGTTTGTGTATTCTGTGCATCGTTCGAGTAGTGATTTCTAACAAGTTACAGTTTTGTTCAGATACGGCAGAAGCCTAAACTCTCCTGAGAACAAAAGTTTAAGATAACTGAGTTGACCTAGCATGTCAATGAAACAAATCGATGGCCTGGAGTTAAAGCTAAAATCTTATCTTATACATTAAGAGCAAAGAAACCACTGGGCTTCATTTGATACAAGTCGGTTGCTTGTTGATCACTGAAAATTTCTTGTGGTATAATGCCTGGTTCGATTTACACAAGTGAGATGTAGAATCTTTAGGTAGTCATAATTTTTAGGGTTTTCTTTTGTTTTATTTTTGTGTTTTGATCAGTTATTTATTACACTATGTCCTTTTCATTCTGCAGACACTGTGGGAGATGAGTTTATCAAGTGAGAAGGGAAAAAAATATCCTTCGTGATTTAAAAAAAACTACTCATGAACAGTCATCAGTGAACTACAAACAGAAAACATTTGTAGATAGTTACAGTCCCTGAATTCTTAAAGTTTATGTCATTGTATGAGAACAAAGATACACATTGTTCTGGGATAGGAAGGATTGCAGAGACAAGTCTACTGATTTGTGCTTCTTTTTGTGATATCCTTGAGGTATTGCCTACTTAAATGTTGTATAAAGACTTCATGCTACAGTGCTGGAACTTTGTTTTTGGTGAGTTAGGGCATGGTGGTTAAATGGGTGTAAATACCGTATAATTCACCTGAAATTTTTTACCTGTCTTAGGAGAAGGGAAAAAGGTCCATTTCAGTCTATGAAGTTGCGTGAGTTTATTAACAGTTAGCAAGTGACTTCTTTTACCCATTATTGGAAGTAAAACTTACTGACTGACTTTGATAATACACTTCCCTACTCTGGTAAAGTAAAGGATTACTTTCAGATTTTTAAATTTTTATTGTTGTTCTGTCCGATGAGGGAGTTCTAGAAACGTGAGATGTGAGCGCTGTCGCTTTGTTTTGCTTCAAAAATGGAAATGGAGCGGATAATGTTAAGGTTTCTCACAAGACAATTCAGGTATTGAAGATGTTAAGGAGAGCAGCACAAGCTGACAATATTCACAGTATTCATTGTGTTTCAGTTCCTGGTCTCAAGTGTAGTACAAAATCACAATGTGGCATATGTGACAAAGAATAAGATGGGGAACGTTGAAGTGGGCTTTAGTGACTCACTGTGTATTTCTTTCTCTGCCATTACATGTAATAGAAGATAAGTCATAGATTACTTGCTGGCTGGAGGGATGGAAGGGTCTTTTTGGGTTTTCTAACCATTGCAACTACAAATATACTAAGTTAGCAGTCTTTTTTTCTGTCAGCAAAAAATAAGCACTTGTTGCGAAGTACATGTGTATTGACAGCACACACATGTATTTTGTGACACCAAAAGGAGTGTTGCGGTAAGACAGCACTGCCATTGATGTGGAGGATGTGGCAGGTTTAAGTTTTGTGCACGGAGAAGCAGTGTGTCTGGTTTACATGTGTCCTTGGCTGGAGAATCCCCACTATAGTTTAGATAGCATTCCTCAAGTCAAAGGCGAGCACTGGCAGTGTAGCCGTCTCCATCGGAAACAGGCACTCTTGGTTCTCTTTACTGTAAGTGCAGAGAAGTAGGCACGCAGGGGTTTAGCGTTAGGGAATATGAATGTGGCCATGTGTCTGGCTGCTTTATTTGAGTAATTTGCTCGGTGTCGAAGAAGAAAATAAAGAAATATAAACTGTTGCATTGATGAAAGCATCCAGGCTGCTTGAAGACTCTTCTTAAATTGCTTTAGGCTTTTTTCAGAGGAGTCAGCCAGAGGTGAATGTTTAGACTGCCTTGTTTGCAAAAGGTTCTTTTTCTTTCGGTCTTTTATTCTTTCTGTCTTTTCCCTAATCAGAATGGTGAATTTACATCTGATACTTTTTATAAGGTGGCCCTATGGTTAGCATCCTACTGCAGGAAAAGATTAAAACCCTTACACATTTCAGTATGGGTTGCTGATGGCAGTCATCTCACTCTTCTTCAGACTTACATGACTCTTGACATCTGCATCTGAACTACCTGTCCAGGCTCACTTAAGCCAGTGAAGAGTAACAGGCACTTCTCTGCCACTAGAAAAGAAATCGTACTCGAAAAGGCCAGTTTCCTTTGGGCATTCAAGGAAGGCTATACGGCTGATATTTCAGGGGCAAGTGGTGACAGAGCAGATGTCTAAAGTAGATCAGAGGAGTCTTGTCCTCATTCTTTCCACCAGCATGTATAGTTGGTGCAAGTTTATAATTAAAAATACCTGCCTCCCTCCCTCCCTCCTTCCCATGCAGACAGTACATATACCTAGGATTGAGGGCTTAAAGCTTTTGCAGATTTGTCCCTTGCATGGCAAGAATTCTGTTGTGCTGAGGAGAGCATGGAGGGATCAGAGGAGGAAGCAAGCCTACAGCTTCTTCCTTTTTCAGATTGAACAGTTTAGGCAAATAAAGGGTAAGTGCTGTACATATCAGATGCTAAACCATGCATGTATTCAGGACTAGAAGTTAAACAAATACGGCATTCAGTAATGTTGTTTTATTGGCCTATTAATAAACTTAGGTTCTAACATGGAGAGAGAAGGCTGTATGCCAGGCATCTGCAGACATTCTAAACAGTGTGTGCTAGATTGAGTACGTGCTTTCGTGGCTTCTCAGAAAGCGAGTGTTTTTATAAACAGCTAAACTAATTCAGTTTGTGCATGGAGAAGATGAGAAGCAAACTGGAAAACGAGAGGCATCCCTGTGTGTTTAGTGTGATGGAGGGGAACAGGGGATTAATCCCTCTCTAGTACTCTCGCGTTTCAAGACTATCTACGGTACACAATTACCCTAATTTGATGCTATTCACTGTTACCTTTCTACTTGAGTAGCACTTTGTTTTCTTTGGGGTTTGTTTTTGCTTTTGCTTTCTGTTTTGTTTTCTTAGTGAAAGCAAAAAGAGAGGGGAACCTTAATCCAGTGTGGGGCAGCTCTTGAGATGTGTTTGAGTTGTCTGCAAGGGCAAAACTGCTTACTCTCGTTTGGAAGCCATAGCTTTCAGGTGTTCTGCTAAGGGTGTAAATGGCTTTGTATTTTTAGAGAAAGGCAAAGGGTTGACAAATGTCACTAATTTAAGGTGAGAAAATAGGGCGGGTTACCTTGGTTTTTTTTGTTTTTTCTTTGCTCCCCAAATCTGTCCCTTATGGCCGTAAATAAGATAATGTTTGGCTGTCGTACCTCATACGTGTAGGCTTTTTTCCTCTGGCACCGTTTCACCAGGCTTAATCAAGTGGCATCTAAGGCTGTGTACAAACTGGGAACAGGATGCATTGACTCTGAAGCATTGCTGTAAGGAGATCACACACAGGTGTTGTTTGACAATGATTTTTTAAAATTTCCAGTGGAACTTGCATGAGTATAAAACTTGTTTGTGGATCTCTTAGCTAGGTGGCAAAAAAGGCCTCCAGTTATAATCTGATAACAAGTAATTAAGTTAAAAATGTGTATGCTAGGTGAAAAAATTGCACAGGATCTAGAGGAGACACAGATTGGAGACAGGCAAAAGCTAAAAGCATAATCTAAAACAGTAGGTTGCAAGGAGTAAATGGAAGACCAGAGTCGGCTGTTTTGCTTCAAGGGTAACTAGCATATGGAACAAGTTACCTGAGAAGCCTGTTGACATAAAGAGTAGAAATAAATTCCAGACACGCCTCCTTCTCTGTGAAGGGAGTTGAGACATTTAGGGGGGGTGGGGATCAAAAAGGAAAGTGAGGTGGAGATCAAACAAACAGGCAGACATGTTGGGCCAGAGGTGAGTTTCTCCAGATCATAAAATTTCTTCATCTGGTAGACTGCCAGGGTGTCGCTGTTGAGGTCCTAGAAAGTATTTGTCTTTCACAGTAGCATTGTAGTTTCATGGAGCGGTGAAGCTTCAGTTCATGCTCTGGGTTTTTATAGGCATCCTCCTTGTCTTAGAGTCTGTGCATGGCTCAGACTGTAAAAGCATTTTCACAGAGAAGCCTGGTGAGCTGTGCTATTGCTCTGTGCCTGACCCAGCCAGGAATGTCCTTCGTGCTTCTCATTGCTTACGTCGTAGCTATTAGTGAAACTTCATTTTTTTTCGTCTTCTTCTGGCAGGAAAGGTCTAGTATGGAATTCATGTCTGTGATTTTCCTTAGTGTATTTAGCACAGACAAGGCATGGTTTGGGAATGGATTGTATAGAAACTGTTTAAAATTTCCTTTCATCTCAGTTGACGCCGTTTGCCTTCAGATGAAAATGTCACTGACTTAGTAAGATGGGGGAAAAATAGAAATTAAGATTTCCTGTCATAGCTGCTAAAAAACTTTTATGTTGCTGTCTTTCAGAATTTAATTTTCAAGATGGGAAAAAGCTATAATATTTCAGAGAAACTACTAGAAATAATAGTTTGGCTTTTTTTTTTTTTTTCTCCCTGTCCTGACATTGAGACTCCCAATGAATTACAAGTCACTTATTTCAAAGTCCTGAACAGTTTTAAGTGTACAAAAGCAGGCAGGAAAAAAGCAACTAAAACAGGCAGGAACACATCAGTACTGATACTGCAATGAATATGTGTCTTTATGCCGGATTGGCTGCTGACACATATTCTGTTATTACAAAAAAAAGCAAAATTAAAGCAAAAATAACTTTGAAAGCAAATGCATTTGCAACGATTTATTTCCTTTAACTCAAGTATTGAAGTAAATAAAATATATCAGAGTTTTTTATGGCCTTGTTTTAAGTTCTGGGGGCTGTATGTTGAGTTCAGAGAGTTGCAGAGAGGCTTCTTTGTTCACCTTAGAGCAAATTTCTTTGAAAAAATGAACTACCACCAACTCCCCCCCCAAAAAAACTCAACCAAAAAAAACCCCCCACAAAATAACAACCAAAATCAGAAACCGAGAGGAGAAGTTAGCTGGATAATGTTGGGTCTTTCATCTTTGGCTGTAACTTCTGTGTTGAAATGATTTCTTTCACACCAGCTCTTGGGGCTACTCAAGTGAAGTAATGGATGTGTTAACAGTCCACATCATGACTATGCTAGTGTCAAATATCTTGTTGAGTACTTGAGCAGAAACAAAGGTCTTCTGGAAGATCCCCAGAACCTTAGTGATGCATTCATGTAAGTGAAATCATCATTGGAGGAGGATTTCTGGTGTGCTGGCAAGGAGAGGATTGACAATGATTATTATATAAGCATAGGAGTTGAAAAGGACCCTACGTGTCATATTATCAGATCTGCTTTTTTTTTTCCCCCCCTCTGAACCATGTAGTTTTCTAGTGAGTCAGTCTATTTTTCGTATAGGAAATACTGACTGAATCGTAAAACTAGATCATTTCCATTTTCATACAACACAGGAGGGTGTGCAGCATTTAAACCTGCAAGAGTGAAAGTCTGTTCATGGAGAAGACTTTTGTGCACCTGTTAGTTCAAGTCAAAGTTTTAAAAGCTGCATTTTTTTTTCCATAGACTGTTTATACCATGGCTCAGTTTCCCTTTCCGCAACTGGCAGAATTAAGGGAGAAATACACATACAACATTACTCCTTTCCCTGCACCAGTAAAATCAACTTCGCTTTCAGGGTAAGTTCCAAATGCACTGATTGTGGCATGTAGGGTCACATACGTGTACCTTAGATAGTGAAAAGGTAGGTGACATCCTCCCTTGTGTGCTTCTAAAGAAGAGAAAGCTATTTGGTAGTGATCGTATTTGACAATGTCGCTTTTCTTATTTCTCCTATGTTTTCATTTGACAGAAGGCTAGGCAGAACCAGAGACAGTGATGAGGAGAATGACCTGGATGATGAAGACTCGATTGCCAATGCAATTGGCTGCCTTGGACCATTAAGTGGGTTTTTGGCACCTGAGCTGCAAAAATATCAAAAGCAGATGAAAGGTACAAGTGCTTTTGTTCATTTTAGAAAATGTAGTTAAACCTGCACGATCTTGTAGAAGTTGTCTGTAGCTTCCTTTGTGAAAGCTGCTATGAAAATTGAGTTTTATATTTGTATAGAAATTACAGCAGATATCAAATGACTTGCTCTGCAGTCCACAAAGATGTCTTCAAAGTAAAATATGAAAGCTGTATGTGTGCAATAAATAAGAGCGTGAGTTAAGGATCTGTCTACAGTAACGGTTAAAAAACCAACCCCCATAGCGTTGCCTACTCACAAAGAAGAAGCACTTGTGGATAAAAGTCCACCCTAAATGCATGGTTATTTCCAAGAAAGCTGGTATGTAGGCAGCATTTTCTGAAGACTGTACATGTAACAAAGAATCTTGACCTTTATTAGCATATGCGTGACTGCTGTTAGGACCTGTCGACAGTGAGTGAATTCTCTAAGTCATTTCACTGCCTTTTGTGCAAAACCTTCAGATTGTTGAGTGTTTTGGGTATATTCACATTTTTATGAAATTGGGTTTGGTTTAGGATGTCAAAATGTCACTATTTTTCACATCTCGCTGCCTTGAAATAAGATTTCTGGTGCTGGATCAACAGTGATTTTGTAAGATCCTAGGAGAGACTGTCGTTATTTATCTCACTCTCCCCTCATCTTACCCCCAAAAAAAACCACAGACCAATATAGTAGTTGCTGTTTTCTGATTGTGCATCATCATTCTTGTGGCTTGGTTTTGCCTGACTGATAAGCTGCAGTTTTCCTTTTGATTGCTCTGGTGTTCTGTTTTTCCTGTCCTGAGGGACTGTAAATCCTTACCTGCCGCTTCAAACTAGTGCTTAGTCAGAACATCAAAATGCTCTTGCAAACTGAGCTAAAGACGAACAAACATCCTTTGGAAAAGAATTATCCCCTTCACCCTGGGGTGCCAGTTTGGGGGTGCGTCAGAAACAGCTGTGAAAATAAATTGCGGTGCTGCTGTTGCTCTGCAGCTGTTGATCGGAGACCCTCCTCTCAAATCACCTCATCCCCAGCTGCTCTGCACCTCTCCCTTTCATTGCCACCAGCAGCTTTTTCTGCCTGTGGTGCTGTAACTGTTTCTTGATGATTCTTGCTGGTATCACTAGGTCGGTTTTTTAATCTCGTGGCTGCTTAACAGTAGTGTATTTTATAACTTGAGTTGTTAGCCTCCTCTTCAACCAGCTGAATGTCTTTAATAATCACTTTCTAAATTACTTTAGTGATGGCTTGATGCACTTTTGGGAATTGAAGAACCCAGCTTGTAACTTGGCATTGCTATGTTAATTGACTTTTGTACTCCTTAAACTCCCCTGAAACCCTTGCTATTCTTGAGCAGTAGTTCTAGAAATGTAATACTTCTTACTCTAGATAGCGCAGCTTTGTTAAAGATGCATATTGTAATAATTTTTTTAATTCAAGACCACAGCCATTCTATGATTCTATACAGTTAAGTCAAGTGATAGGAATAAGAAGACATAGACTTCCCTTGTAGATAATCTGTGGAACTCTTGAGTATGCCAATTTACGCCTCGTCTCTGCTTTATTCCCACTCTGTGCAGATCAGAATGAAGAACAAAGTCTGGGTTCCAGTAACATTGCAGAATTAAGCCCAGGAGCGATAGACTCTTGCCGAAGCGAGTATCATGCTGCTTTTAACAGCATGATGATGGAGCGTATGACCACTGATATTAATGCACTGAAAAAGCAATATTCCAGGATAAAGAAGAAGCAGCAACAGCAGGTTCACCACGTGTATATCAGAGCAGGTAACATATCAAAGCATGCTTCATTTACTGATTTATTATGAACTAACATCGTAGGAGACGAGCCAAATTATGTCCTTTTACATTTAACCAAAGAGACAAAACAAGAGAGACTGGTGGAAGTTGTAACATAGTAGTAAAGTGGGTACCACTTTGTACAGATTGTAAATGAGAAGGTGATGTTTTTTCTTCTTTTGTCAGGATCTGAAGACGATGACCCTGGGTTTTTTTTAGGTCCCAGGGACCAGCTGAACAATGGTATTTAAAAGTGTCTTTGCTATCTGCATACATGGTGTCGATCTCTCTGATTAAAATTGTTATATCTTTGGCATCCTTGGAGTTGACATACTGATGCACTGAAAAAAGTCAAATGAGGGGACGAGTACACTTCAGACCAAGTGGCAGGTAGATTCCTAGCTGGTCTGTCTTATCCTAACTCGTCTGAGCTCATCCAGACATGGCAAATTAAGCAGCTGAAGAACTGGTTTAGGTGTTCCATTGTGGCTGACAGTTTACCTTAGCCATAATGATACTGCTGTGAGGATCAAGCTGGGCATCTGTTCGTTATTTAGCAACCCGTGTTACAGAGTCTGTCTCCCCAGCTGGCAAATGCAACAACGCGGGAGTTAGCATGGACAGCGCAGCTGAAGGTTGCAGTGGGTGTCCAGGCTAAACATGTCTCACCGCACTCGTTCCTCCCCACTTAGGGCCATCTTTCTAAGTCAGCATTGAACCATGCAGATGGATCGCTGCAGAGAGTTTTTATTCCTCTTCTAGATTGTCTCAGCTTGCTCTAGCAAGAGCATTTGAATACATAAACCTGCAGTTTTTCATACATGTAATTTATAAGGATTTCATTTTTTTTAAATATTGGCAAAGCATTTGCTGTATCCAGCAGAAACAGTGCAAACAGTAAAATGTTGATTCCCAAGGATTGCCATCCCCCGCCTCCCAAACACAATCCTTTCTAATCTTACTAATCATGATGTACGGCTGGGTTTGTGGTTTACTCAAACTGTTGTCTAATTACCTAACTCTGAGTCTACTGCTCTGGTTTAATAAGAGGACCTAACAGAAAAGAGTTGGTGTGATTTATTTGATAAAAATGCATGGGTTCATTCTCCAGTCACAGAGAGAGGCTTATTTGACTGGCCTTGTATAGGGGCCGAATTTGCCTCTCACAGTTGGAAGAGAAGTGAAGAAGAGGGGAAAGATCGGAAGCTTATATTAATGTTAAACAGTCAGTTAACAGTACAGTTCCAAAAATCGAGAAGCTATTTTTGTTATGGTTTATCTACATGGTATTCCTGGCTCAGAACTTACCCATAGTTAAGAAGCAAGGAGGGAGGACAGGAAATCTTTATTACAGAAGTGACAGCTTTGTGTTTGACTCTAAGATGTAAGAGAAATTCAGTGATTTTTTAATTTAAAATAAAAATAAAAGTAGTATTTGGTTGTACAAACATGTGCTATACCTCAAGAAAGGTGTTACATTTGGTGATGAATCCTTAGAACATTTATTTGTTTTGTTCTTTAACAATACCATATTTCTTTTAAACACTTTCTTTCAGACAAAGGGCCAGTTACCAGCCTCCTCCCTTCTCAGGTAAACCATTCCCCAGTGATAAACCACCTCCTTTTAGGAAAGAAGATGAAACTGAATAACAGGTCTCTCAAAAATGCTGTTATTCACATCCCAAGTCACGCTACAGGCAAGATGTCTCCTGTTCCCCAAGAAGACCTTAAAACAAAACTGAACTCTCCGTGGCGCACTCACATACGAGTTCATCGAAAGAATATTGCCAGGGCCAAAGGCCAGCTGGGCTACGGGGATACCATAGGACTAATAGATGAGCAGAGCGAGAGCTGTAAAACTAACAGTCCTGGGGCAAAGCAGGAGGCTTCCAAACATTCTGACTTTGGAGAAAGAGGAGGGGGGTTGGATGACAGGACTACTGGAGAAGCTGACCAGCAGTCGTCTGAGCCAGTCTTTACGGACAGCAGTACAAACATGTCAGTGGTCCAGCTAAAACTGGAAGCGCTGGAGCTCAGCTCAGATAAGAAAACCGATGCTGAGTCAATGCCCCATCAGTCAGTCCAGCCGCGTTTATCCCAGTCCTCCAGTTCATCCAGCGACAGTGGAAGCCTGGCTAAATCCCCCCAGCCTGGGAACCCAAAGCCACAAGTCTTCAATCCTTTTCCCAGTGTCAAGCCTCTTCGAAAGTCGGCTACAGCCAGGAATTTAGGGCTATACGGCCCCACTGAAAGAACGCCAACTGTACACTTCCCACAAATGAGCAGAAGTTTCAGTAAGTCTGCCAGTGGCAACAGTGGGACCAGGAAACGATGATGTACTACTTGGCACTTTCTTTTTCTGACAACAACAAGAAATTTGTATTTTTTTTTTTAAATGTGTGTGTATGTGTGTCCCAATGCATTTCTAATCTTTAATTAAGTAACAGGGATGAAAGTGGTTACCAGGTGTATAAATATGTGTCTTCGAAAATTGTACTCCTGTGTAGTTATGGAATAGATTAGTGAAAATGCACTCTGGCACTCTGTAGTCGATTTAGATGGTTCTGTGGTAAAATAAACATTGATTTGCAGTGTTGAAGCATTCTGTTCCTTTAAATCTGACTTAGACATAAAATCACTGGCCGCCTTTAACCCCTCAGCCCCGCAGTGGCTGCCTCCTGCCTCTTTCAAAGCTTGAAGGCCGAGTTGTCTAGTGCAGCAGCTGCCTGTGACAGTTTTTATGGCTGTTACGCAGCTTCCCTCGTAGACCTCATCACCCTGCACTGTGAGGAGCTGTAGAAGCCGTGGCTACCAGAAGCACAAGCAGCCCAAGCAATCAGAAATATCACTTTGTCTCCAACATTGCCACTTACCTAGCAGGCCATCTGGCTTCAGACGTTCTTGAGCAGCATTTCATGCTTCTCTTAACCACAACAACTCTGCTGATACTGTTTTTAATACAGATGTGACGAGTGAGCATGAGAATAGCAGATAAAAGTCCATCCAGAACACTAGTTTGCTCATTCTGTGTTACATATGTACATACATACAATTCTGTTACTGCTGGGGAGTCGCAGAACTGCAAAATTAGGAATGAAGTACAACTAGATGTGTAGTTGTGTGAATATTATAGCACATCTTGGCTTCAGTGGATTTAAAAGCTCTTTCTTAGGTTACAGACTTGTAATTAAAACATATTTGCCAGTTTTGCAGTAGGTAAAATATATGAATGTCCCAAAGTAGTTTAGGGTTTTAAATTCTATAAATAGAATGGTTAGATACTGAGGGTGCCACTTGTTAAAAGCCAATGCATCAGCCACTATGGAATTGGGGTGGGCCCATGGGACTGCCGTGGGCTTCCACAGCTTGGTCTGGCTGGGCATGAAGGAGCAATGGCAAAGCAATAAGATGAGTGTTTACTTCCAAATCAAAAAGCAAAGCTGGTGAATACCGTAATATATATATATTTATATAGGTGTATATATATAGTATATATATATTAAAAAACAGGCAGAGAAACTAAATGTGGATAGTTCAACTTCAGGGCTGCAAAACAAAGCACTCAATCTCCCAAGAAGTTCAGGTTGCTCTTAAAATGTTACAGCTCTGCTGAACTGTAGGTATTGACTGTGATTAGTACTTAATATTGCTTCCAAGTTTCCTGTGACATTAAAGTGCCATTACTTTAAACCGGAGTAAAAGCAGTAATGATTAATAAGCCCCGATGCATGTAGTATCTTACTTCCTCTTTCAAAATTATTTGTTAAATTTGGAAGTTAATATATAATTGTCTATTTATTAAAGTATCTCATAACTTATAGGATGTGATCTCAGTTTTACTGTATACCATAACTTATAAGCTCTACAGTCTACCGTGTTTATTGTTATGGGGGCAGTTTTATTTTGTTGTTTTATACAAGTGTATGCATATAAAATAATATACAAGTATGAACACTATAAATATAAAACAGATGTAGATCAGATCTCGCCCCTGCTTTATTTTCAGGTTATAGCAGTGTTGTCACTAATGATTAATTATAGCGTTAAGTAAATTTAAAATAATGTATAATTTAGTCACTGATCACGGACTGTTTGAGAATTGCTACTGCCTCGATTTAGAAGAAATGGACTTCTTAAAATTTTACTGTGAATCATTCTCCCCAATTTTTCTTAGCGTCAGTGTATCACGTTGCTGTATACTGAACCATTAAAAATAAAAGAACTGTCATTCTGCAAAAAACTGCTAAAATGTTGCAAGTGTTTGCGTGAATATTCAACACATGAAGATGTGATTAAGCAATGGAAGATGAGCAACCTTTGCACGGGTACTGGTCTGCGGAAAGTAGCACCAATAGAATACTATTTCTAGTCATTCAGATTTAATCAATAACTGATAAGCGTGCTCAGAGGATCTTGTACTCTACTTAGAATGTTAGGACTGAGTTGAAGGAACCATGGCAACTCAGTGCATTAGCTTGATGATGTTTGCTGCAAGAAATTTTCTTTAAGTACTGCTAGATGAGAAAATTGAAGGTCATTTTGGCTGTTCAGTACTTCACAGGATGTTCACGCTCCACCTGAAATCTCCCTGTTGAACACACAGCACAAGCAATTTCATCACTTGGTACTGAGGTGGAGCAGTAAGACGAGGTCCAGAGAAGCAGGGAACTCCAGAGAAGTTTCCAGTTATTTTTGCCCGAAGAATCCCTCCAGCAAACAGGGTCTGGTGCTGCAGCTGTGCTTGGAAGAGTGACATTGCAGCAGTGAGGACCTTGGGAGGCATGATGGTGGGAGTATGATCCATAAACCTCTGTGTTTTGTTCTCCTTGAGGCCTCCCTGTATTATTGCTCTCCTCCATGTGGCTAAAGACCTTTTCTGTTTGTTGGGGTTTTTTAAAACTCGAGTCTTTTTGAGAAAGTATTTTATTAGGATCAGATTGACTTTTATTTCTGAGAGTGAGTTTCACTATCATCACATGGAAGCTCTCAAGGGTCAGGGATTTGGTTCCATTTTGAAGACACTTACAGTCCTACAAGTGGAAACAGATCCAAAGCTATTCTGAGATTCAAAATTGCCTACATTTTAGGGGTAAAAATGGGAGATGGTAGAAATCAATTTTTCAGAATTGCAGGCAAGAACCAGTTGATTCCATGCACAACTGCAGCTAGCGAAAACATAGTTTTGTATACTTAACAAAAGTCCTAGCAGAATCCATTCAAAAGAACCTAAGTGGTCACTAGAAAGGCAACAAAATGTTATTTCAAACAAGAATAAAATGCAGCCCTTTACACAGATATTTCCAAATTCAGGTAAAGATTCATGTTCAGAATTTGAGAGAGACTTTAAATCTCTTTTAATCCTCCACAACATGTATTTTAAACTGTGTGAAATTGTTCACACAGAAATAAGGTGGGTGGATTCACTGTTCTGTAGTTTTCCTTGACCTTGCAATGAGTTAGTTGGCGTCCACCCATGGGCAGCAGTCGCACCTGGCTGAAGCAGCAGGGGGCTGATAGCATCATCTGACACCAGCTCCACTGAAGCATGAAGAGAAAAAAATTCATCCTAATGGATCTTTGTCCTTGTCAAAGGTTTGTTTGCTCCAGTTCTACTCAATTTTGTTGGCAGGAGATTTGTTTGTTCAAGACACGGCGTCATGGAGCCCTTCAAGTGCTCTGAGATGTGGAATCGTCCCAGAGAAGCACCTTCAGCCTGTATGTCATCAGCCAGGGAGGACTGGTTGGGTGATTGGCTTCTCGAGCAGCTGAAAACCGCTGTGTTTGGACACCTGTGCTGGGGACAGCATCCTCAGCAAGGTGTAGTCCGAGAGGGTTGTGTGTGGGAAGGGCAGATCCAACACGCTGCAAGAAAGTACACGTGCAAAGGGTGTCTCCTGCACACCCTTCCCCGCTGAAGAGCCAAGACTTCATGGCTTGTACAGGCTAACTTTGACCAACATGAGCTACTTAGCGCAGTTTGGGACCCAGAAGACCATGTCAGGTGTAGTCTTGCCCAGCCTGCAGGATGCTGTTTTGACCGTGCTTCATGCTACAAGCAGCACACATTTGCTGGCTCACCGTGAGTTTAAAGCGAACCACAAATGTTTCCAAGCCCTTTTCTGACAAAACCCAATCAAGCCACACCAATTACCATAAACAAGCAAGGTGGTGTGGGGGTGACGATGCACGTGGATCAAGAGCTTGGGAGCAACCCATCCAGGCAAAAGGTGGAAGAAGTTTTGAGGGAAAGCAAACTCCTTAGTTCTCCCTCAGGCCAAACAAAGGCTTTGCGAGCCTGTGTGTACCCAGA